GCTTAAACACGTATGCGACTGGAATTTCCACTTTTTCTTCGTCAAAATGCGGGAGCCGTGTCGAGGGGGAGCGCCGAAGGTGAGACCGCTTGATTTTCGTTCATCCGACAAACGCGTCATCTGCATAATGCGTAGTTTGTCCACGGGTTCCCATGTGGCGCAGGAGTGTGTAACAGAGACGCAGATCGCTTCATGCGAAAGGCATGATATTCGTAGCACGCCTTGTCGTCCATTATCGTTACCCGACACGTTTTTATTTCACGAAACGATAGCGGCATCTCTGGCCTTTCACACCTTTTTGGCGGGCCCCCTCGCCGCGGGTTAAGCAGACGCGCAAAAGAGCAAACGCTTGAATATTTCGGGTGTATCGCGCGATAATAATCTGCGCGTAGGAAAAACGGCAAAAAACCAGACGCCGCGGAATTTCGCATTGATATCGCCGCGTAAATTGCATCGCGCGCTGTGTACCGGCAGTTTTAATGTTGGATTTAATTATGCAATGGTCGGGCCCGGAGTTGCGGCGGCAGCAGTTTCCGGCAGTTACGGCAATATAAGTCATGAAGCGACGATGAATTTTGATGTACGAGGTTTTTCGGCGAAAACAGAAATTCCCACACGAACATATGGCGTCTGGAGTCGGAAGTGATATCTCAGGGAAACGCGGGCGTAGGTGGTTGATGTTAAACTTGATTTCGGCTTCGCGAAAGTTCGCCCGAGTTCGCTACTTCGCCGGAGTAATTCATAACTTTTACCCACGGGCCCGGTTCAATAACGTCTGTTCCGCCGGCGGTTCATACTGATAATTCATTTTAAAACAGCTCATAACTAAAAGCCAAAGGACCGCGATGGAATACAGCGTCCGAGGGCGTTGGGTGCTAAATCAGAAAACTTCCGATTCGCCGCGAAAGGCGCGGAAATCTCGTAAAATTGCATTAGGGCAGTCATTTTCCTCGTCTGATTGCGGCCGAGGGCTTTCAGAAATTGCACAGAGTAATGGATATTCAAGAACGCTCGCCGGTCTCTCCCGACATACCTGGTCTCTTTAGAAGTTGAGAAAAACTTGGTCCGTCGCGCCGTAATTCCAGGAATCCGCGACGATTCGCCATTCCTCTCATCTATTTCTCCGCAATGATTCGCTGTCGGATAAAGGGAAGGAAAAATCGCGGTGCAGCGCGCGAGATACACGCGGTCGATGCCGATCTAAACGGACGCGGAAAGGAGAGACGGGATTTTTCCGCCTCTTCGACGAAAGGCGGCGGTGATCGTAATAACTATCCTCCCGCGCGTTTCGCCCCATCCACTTCGCGTAAACACCCGCATAAATTCCGGAACGGCCCTTTCCCTCCCGCTCTGCCTTCCCCGCGCCGTTCGCTTTACATCCCGGCGCCACACCGTTAACTGTTACGGCACCATCGAGTGTTTCTCACCCTCTATTTAGCCGTGCCGCTCGTTTCTTTCGGACGAAACAAACGTACGGGCGGTTTTCCATTTCCCCGATCGATTTTGCCGATAATGGCGACAATAGTGGAAATAGTGAGAGCCATTAGTTCAGTGATTAATGACGCGCTTATGATCGAACAGAAGTGCTCTCCGCGCCTCGCCGCGCCGAAGAGATTTTCGGAATCCGAGTTCTTTCACACCGCCGGGATGGATATTATTGTGACTCTGCGAAAATCGCAGTAATAAGAGAGACACGGAGACCATTATTCACACGGATGTCTTAGCGGAGCGAGTGATTTGCGAGCACAATAGACGGTCGGAGGCGCGCGAGCGTCGGGATTATTTGTTAAATGGCACGATAAGAGCACATGGCTAAATCGCGCGACGCTCGTAGGCGTAAATGTATGTAGCCTACATTTGTATCACTTGCCTACTTTCCATCGAGCATTTCGCCGTACGTATTTTTTAACGTACTCTCAGAGCAGCCGGCTTGAATAAATCTCGACGGCCGAGTGTAACGATCGCGAAGAGTGCCAAGTTTCTTTGGCACGTATTTCCCGCGCGACGATGCTTCTTTCTGACGCGAATAATTGCAAAATGTGCAATTTTATTGTCGCGGTCAACACAAAAGGCTTCCTGGATACGCGCCGTTGTATATCGATCACCGCCGCGATCGCCATTGAGCCTCGTGATATAAAGACGAGAATTCCACCAGTTATCAAAGCACACGAGCGGCCGTGCAATTAAGATATCCGAATTGGAGTCCGCCCTCGGATCGTGCGGTATAATCGATTTGGCCTTTGTCGCACCTGTCGAACACGAAACGGCGAAACCCCATTTTCAGATTACGCGGTTCTATTGAGAGACGCGAGAACGCGCCCGGCGATCGGGAAGACGAGAGGAGGCGATGTGACTGACAGGCTTCACGGTTTATTCGACAAGTCGAAGAGCACACAGGGAAGCCTATAATATCGTATCCAGCTTGGGCTTTGGGTTAACAGCCTGGGTGTTCGACGATGCACCATGATGCATGACGCGGTGTCGGGTTCCAATTCGCTCGGGCATCCATGAAAGCAGACTCTGTGCACGATGTAAAATATCGGCGATTCGAGATGAAACGAAGAGCGCGCGCGCGCGAGCACGTTCGCTTGTGACAGACAAAGAACGCGGATTGCGCCTCTTTGAACAATTACTTTTTTTCTAACCGGATGTGCAAACGAACGACTTTACGGTCAACTAGCTCGCGTGCATATTGTTAATATAAAAAATATTACGTTAGCGGATTAACGCGTGAGAAGCGGAATAAACATTGGTCGATTTCGAAAAATCAAACATGTGTCAACAACGCCAGGAAGCATTTACATTTTGGAAATAAACGGCAAATATATTTTGCGTGTTTACGTGGCGTAATTAATAACAAGCGTCCGTCACACGCTACGCGCGCATTCTCGCCTAGATATTTTATTCCGCATCTCGAGATATTTTTAGCCAGATATTAATTCGCTCTGTCGTCCCGATCGATGACCCGAGCGGGAATCGATTTCACCACAGTTCGCGAAATCGATCGGACTAGTTATGCTTCCTGCGCTTTTACAATTGCCCAAATTACGGTAGAACGTAGTGCTCATTCATATTTCATTTGTAACGATATTTATTTGCGCAAATGTTAGATCAATGTTAAATCAATTAAAATACGTAACTTTATCAAGGATGCGGAACATTAGGCAAATAGCAACATCAATTACGTTTGGCTTCGGACATCAATATAATTATGAACGCATGAATGTTATTAAATATTGTTTATCGTTGCATATCGATTCACCGTGTAATAAAATCTATCGTAATCACGATATTAATATATAAAATTTGCTAAAACATTAAAACAGCTATTAACATAGCAATGCACCCGACATATATTGTTTCATACGGTTATTGATCGCCTTTTAATTCATCAATTAATAATGTAGCAATAGATACGTGTGGATTGACGTAACATGCCTTACTTCTCAGTAGATCACGATCATTA